TTATCTTTTTTTTCAGGTAGCTTGATTTTACAGAGGATGGAGAAAAAAGTGACTAGAGAGAGAATAAGTTCAAAGAAAAGTTTTGATTATATTATATGCTTTAATAGTTATATGCTAAAATGGAAGGAGTAACAGAGAAGGCAAGGTTGAAGACACAGGAAAATGAAAGGGTCAGTGATGGATTGAAGTCCTTTACTGGGCAGAAGCATTGGTATCCGGAGTACAGGCATGTGCATTTACTTTTTACAAATGGAGAAACATATTACAATGTCAGTCAGGACATAGAAAAATAAGGATTTATGTGTGGTTGAATGCTACTAAGACACAAAGATTTTTGAATTAAACAACAGCAGCAGCAGCAACAACAACAACAAAAAAAAAAAAAAACCCATGGTTCAGTCTTGTGCTATATAAAAAAAGAAATGTAACTCCAACGAAATTACGCAAATAGATAACCTAAGGATAGAGAAACATATCTGTCAAAGATGAACCAAAAGAGAATAAAAATAGCAGTATTAGAATTTAGTTCATAACAATTCCGCAATTGGTTCCCTACATTTTATGCCTAATTCAACACAGTAACCAGAGGGACTCTCTTAAGACCTAATATGTATCAGGTCACTTCTTTGCTTATGTATTTTATAAATTTCCAAAAGGAAAAATAATAAACCCATGAAATAGTAACAAAAATAACAAGAGACTGGGAGAGAAACACACACACACACATATGCCGAAACAAGTACAGAGAACTCTTTCATTTTCACCTACTTAGTAATCAATTATTTTCTACTATCTCATCTACTATTGTCAAAAAAGCTGAACTATCACCTTGATAATTTTGTCCCCCCTTCTGCTAGAGTGAGTGCCTTCACTGAATAAAGTAAGGAAAATAAGTAAAGGTACTCAGAAAATGCAGCATCTATAATAAAGCTGAATAGCCCATTTTCTTTTTCATATTTTCAAAATGGTAGTATAACTATCTTTGAATACTATATTAAATACAAGCCAATATTTTCACACTTAATCTTTTTTTAAAGATCAAATCTTCCTGCTTATATTTATTCTTTATGTTACAGCACTAACTACCTCAGATGGACTTTTTTAAGCAACACGTTTGTGCTAATATAGGAATTCTGTACCTCATTGTCATGAATCACCTTAGCAGTATCATTGAGAGTAAATCTAAGGCACGTTTCTTCTGCTCTGTGTGTCTGGATCTGTAAAAATTTCATGTGAAGGCAAATATAAAGTATTTCTTGCATCTGAATCATTTTTTTTTTGCCATAAAATGGTCTACTGTATTTCTTAAGGATTCCTTAAATGGAATTTAAAATGCTGTTAGTACAAAAGTTCTGAATAAAATTTTCAAGTGTTCTTCATATTTCTCATGTACGGCATGTAGTTTCAGAATCCATGTTCCATCACAATAATCTTTCATTTAAGTTTGTATTTGGTTGCTTAACATCTGTAAATTGTTAAGATAAGGTATTACACAGACTTGCTTTGGTTTAGATTAGTTTGGAATACATCCCGGGGTACTTAATCAGGGTATAATCCTGCATGATCTTTAAAAAGGTGTGCTGTATTTTAAATAAATTGCATTTTTTTTGTAGAAATATTTGTGTCTTGTCCTTTTTAAAAAAAATGAGTTAAGAAAGGCTCCCTATCCCACTTTTGGATTAGTATCTCACGTTTTGAATTATCTGTCGTTAGTAGACAAACATAATACTTGATCCTAAATTCAAAAAGAGAATCTGTAAACATACATAACTGCATTGCTTCTCAGCAACTGTTTGGCTTATTTTTTATACATGCCTGAAATGTTTGATATGAACTATGTTGAAAGGCACAACAAATGTCCTATTGTACTGCCATCTATTTTCCTTACAGCTTGTATAAATAGTTTCTTTTTTCTTTGTAAACTCTGTGGCAAGAGTAATTTATATAATTAATGGTAGAGATTGGGAGATAGTATTTTAACAAAAAATATTTTTATTTTTAGAGTTAATTTTGCTTTCAGATTAGAAGATAGATTCACCACACTTATAATTAATTTTGAAATACAAATTTAAAAATGTGTGCACAAGGAAATAAAGCATAGGAAAAATTTTTTCTAAGTGTTAAAAACAGACAAAATTAATGAGACATTCAGAAAAGAAATAAATAATATTTTGAAAATATTGAAGCAGTTGCTTCTACTTACTAACTGTAATCTTTTGAATCTATTTCATATGAAATTAAATGAATTTTAGTATTTAATGGTAAGAATAATTTAATAATAACCACATTTTATTTGCCTTTATCACTCTTGTGGCAATTCTGCATATATTCAAAATTTAGAACTTGCCTAGATCTGGCAATTACTTTTCATTGACCCATTTTTATAACACTTAAAAATATGAAACAATTGGAGCACCTGGGTGGCACAGTTAGTTAAGCATCCAACTCTTGGTTGTGGTTTCCACGTTATGAGATTGGGTTTGCACCAGGCTCACACTCAGCATGGACTCTACGTAAGATTCTCTCCCTTTCCCTCATACCCTTTACCCTGCTCATGTGTGTGTGCTCTCTTTCTCTCTCCCTCTCAAATAAACAAAATCTTTTAAAAAATATATGAAACAAAGTAAGATTATGATAAAAATTTTCTAGAAAATATTCAGATGCACAAAGAAGAGTCTCCTTTATCCTTCATTAAAAAAAATTTTTATTTATTCATGAGAGACAGAGAGAGAGAGAGAGAGAGAGAGAGAGAGAGAGTCAGTCAGAGACATAGGTGGAGGGAGAAGCAGGCTCCATCCAGGGAGCTCAGTGCAGGACTCAATCCCAGGACACTGAGATCGCGCCCTGAGCAAAAGGCAGATGCTCAACAATTGAGCCACCCAGCATCCCTTTACCCTTCTTTTTATCAGTATTTTAATGTTTCTTTCTGCCTCTTTATTTAACTTAACTCCATTTGGGAATTTTTGTTTAATTGTAATTTTATTGTGTTTTCCCTATGTTTTAAAGGAAATTTATATTTATCCTAAATATACTTTAATATTTTGAGGAAAGGGACTTACTTTTGATGATGAATAATATTTTGCTTATAGTATAATAAACATAAATTTAATCTCCCTAGCAATATAAAGTAGTCAAAGATTCTTCCTGGTTTCTTTGCATGATTTCAGACCTTCTCATTACTGTTTTGTCAGCTAAAGATGCAACCAATGAGATAGCATATCACCTGTCCCCATCCAGGGTCTGGGTGAAGGATAATCAGTGTCACTGGCATAAAGTCCTGGCCTGGGGATATTGCCCTTATAATGATATCCTTGATAAGACTATATTCAATGAATCGGAATTTCTGAGGGACCTTATTTATGACATAAAGAGATTGTGATACATTGTGCTCAATATCACCTCATTTGGGAAGCATTTTAAATTACAGATATGTTCCATACTTCCTTTATTTTGTTACAGGCTTATGAAATGCTCTGTTTACCTTGTTTAACATCTTAGCATATGGGAATTCCACTAACTGCTTTTGTGAATCTAGTCCATTTCATTTTATGACCTGAGGAAGTGTAGAGGAATGAACTAATAAGCTTTGTCGATCTTAAACTTTTTATAGTAAACATCTTTAAGTCTTAGTTTTCCCCATACTATTGATCCATTTGCATTTTCTTGCTTGGAAAGCAGCAGCTCTTAACATTTCATACAGATGAACTCTTCCATGTTAAAAACATAGTACTTTTCTTTTTCTTATTCTCACTTTATCTTTTGTATCTTAATTTTATAGCTACCATTGTAGTTTTTCTCATATTCATCTAAATGTTTTCAGTCGTACATTTTCTTCTTTTTGCCATCTCAACAAGGCTTCATCTTTTAGCATCGTCATATTGTTTCTCATGTACTACTATCTGGGATTTATTCATCCTTTTGTAATATTTTTGAGGAATTGAGACTGATTCAGTATTTGTGAAAACCAGGGCCTGTAGTTTGAGGAGCAGCCTTTCCTGTGGGTGCTGTTTCTGAAGTACAAAGGAAAACTGAAGTGTGTTCAGAGGAAAACAACTGAGGCAGGGAGGTGGAATTACACCACAAAACAGAGGTACTGGAGATATCTGAGAAGAGTGCTCATAGGCCTGTAGATATCTAGTTTTGCTCTGTATACTAGGTGTTGCTGCTATCATTATTCATCATTTCTGTTATCTTTGTTGTCCTCATTATTACATTCATTTAAATGTCACCAAGAGGAGAGCTGATGTATAGATTTAAGTGATAAAAAAGTCTAATAATTTCTCAGTAGATGTATTTCTAGATGACTATTCCAAAATAGAATCTCTAGTGCGAACAGTATTGGAGTGGTCTCATATGAATAAACCCAGCCCTAAATTTATTGCTTTAGTAAAGATGTGCGTGGAAACTTTTATAGCATAATGTAAACCTGAGGTGAGTTTATTACTAATAAACTAGAGAAGATATACAGCTTGACCTTTTCTTTTGTGCCTACCTTTTATTGTTTGTCCCATATGAACATCTTTTAATATCAGCTTTAGTAATGCATAAGTTTTGAGAAGACAGATATTTTCTATATCCTTCAAGACACTGAGATTTATGTACATAAATATTAATTTTATAGCTCTTTACAGCATTTTACTAATCAATCAAACCCTGCTTAAAACATTTTTACTAGCATATACTTTAAATGAAACTTCAGATTCAGTCATACAAAATGTGATGGATACATGGTAAAAGAAAGTTCAGAATCACAGGGTTAGAACACCAGGAAAATACTCTGGTAACCTAGAGATGCTGTGGTTTCAGATGGGTGACAGTCCAGGCATTCATGTACTTGTCTGTGACCTGTGCAAGGGTCATTGTCACAAGAAATTTGCAAGGATAAGTATACATATGACAAGCATTTTTCTTTTCCTTAAAAGATATTTTAATGTGTTAAAGATAAATTATTATTTCCAAATGGCATAGAAAATTTATATTGTTCTCTCTTCTTTAAATAGGTTATGTGGGTATGCAATTTATGTCGAAAGCAACAAGAAATCTTAACCAAATCTGGGGCATGGTTCTTTGGAAGTGGCCCTCAGCAGCCAAGTCAGGATGGAACCCTAAGTGATACAGCTACAGGTGCTGGTTCTGAGGTACCAAGAGAAAAGAAAGCACGGCTCCAAGAGCGATCACGGTCTCAGACACCCCTGAGCACGGCAGCTGCCTCCTCCCAGGACACTGCTCCTCCCAGCGCACAACCAGACAGGAGCAAGGGGGCTGAGTCCTCACAGCAAGCTGTGGGGCCTGAACAGAAGCAGGTTTCATCCAGGTCTAGAAGTGAACCTCCAAGAGAGAGGTAATAGTTCTTTAACCCTGTAAGCAAAAGGCAAGATATTATATTGAGAGCAAACCTCTTTTCAAGAATTAACTGCTATTTAAAGGAATATGTGGAGGTGCTATTTCTCAGGCTCCACCTGGAAGGCAACAACAGTCCTAAGGTGCTTTGTTTATCTCTAGAATGCTGCATCAATCCTTAGAACTTTTTTGAAAAGCATTTCTTTCATAACATTGACACATGTGAACAAGTCACCTGAGTTGAGATACTAACTTCCAACCTTGAACTCAGAAAAGCTCTCAGATCATTTATTCACTTTTAGAATTAGCACTTTAATGGAAAGTATGCTCTGAGAGAATATGAGGGAGCCAGACCTGGTGGAAGGTGCATGGGTACCTTCTTTGAGGATATCTTTTATGCTGAGCTCAGCAAGTGACTAGGAATTAACCAGATGAAGAAGGAGATGAGCACTCCAGGTATCTGCACAGGCATGTGGACTGAAGAAACAAGTTCTCGTGTGAGAACTTAAACGATGCCCACACCAAAAGTGTGAGTAGCTGAGGAGGAGAGCAGGGGAGAGCTGGGGAAAGGTGACTAGTTAGGTACCAGGGCCCAAGTCTTACTGGGCCTTTTGGCCAAGTTACATTTTATAGATTTTATCCAAGGAATTATGGAAAGCTACTTACGGTTTCAAGCATGGGCTAACAAGATCAGATAATTTAATTGATTGATTCCTTCATTCAACAATGCATTTACCACCAGACAGGAGGCTCCTACACTGGGAGACAGTGTTAACGAGGAGGATATAGCCCTTCTTCATGCGGTTGGTAGTTTGGGGGACCTTATTATTGTTAAGAGTAGATTTTCTGCTTTTGTTGGTATAATCCTTATGCATCCCACTGGGTGGGAGAGTTGGCTTCAAGTCAGGCTTTGGTTCCCCTTTTCAAACAAAGCCTATACAATAACATCAAGGACTTCAAAGTTACAAGGATCTTCTAGTCCTTTGGTTCTGTCAAAGTAGACAGTAACAACCCATCTTGCAGAGTTGTGGTAAGGGTTAAAGGGGAGCATGTGTTCAAAAACTGGCAGATGGGAGGCATTCAGTGAACATAGCTATTATTCAAGGCAATAGCCATTGTGTATTTACCACAAGCAAACACTGTGCCAGAGACCAGAGTATAAAGATGATTAAGACAAAGTCCCTTTGCTGACAGATCCTAGGGAAGACACCATACAATATCCTAGGGAAGATAGACACCTGGACAATTAACTGTACCAGAGGCTAATTTGATCAAAGCTAGAAAATACATGAGCCACAGAAAGAGGAGGTGCCTTCTGAATTAAGCTTTCTAGGATACCCAGGAATTATACAGTAGGTAGGCAGGGTAGGATGGGACATTTCAGAAACAAAGAATGAGTGCACCTGAACTATGTGGAGAGGACACACAAAGGACACCAGAGATACTTCAGTGAAGGTATAATGGGAAGCTTTTTGTGACAAACTGTTATGGGTTAAAAAATAAAAATATTAAAGGTGCAGTTTGGGATTGGTCAGAAAATGATACTTTTAAATAAGAAAATTTGGAGCTGTAAGGTTTTTTTTTTTAAGAGAAAATATGACAAATGTTGCTGATTATATAAATTACTGATGATATAAATACTTAAAATTTTGAGGACATTAGGGGTATAGAAGGAAAAGAGATGGATGGTGACTTCAGGGAGGTAAGTGAGAGCAAAAGAATGTTGTCAGTCTATTTAGAACTACTGAATTCTTCATCAGGAGCTAGTGGAAAGGGAATAATTAGAGGTAGAGGTAAGGGAAGGCATAGGGAAGCAAAGATCAGAGACGGCAGAACTCTTTTCATTTGCCTGACACTCTATTAACCCATAAAGCACCTTCACAGATGGTCTCTCTAATGCCCCTGTGAACTTTACAAGGTAAGCATCATTTATCAGCATTTGAAGGAAAGTAAATTGATTCAATATAAACTTCTAACAAGATCAACTGTGCCTTACTGAGCTATTAAATGTCTGTAGTACAATTGTCATACTTTTATAAAAACTGTATTTGGTAACTAATATATGTTCCTATTAGACTTCTTACATTGTAAAACTACAATGCCACCCTTACAATTCCACCCTCCGATGAAAATCCCTTCCACTTCAAAACACCAATGTGAACTAAATGTTTAAAGCGGAATTCACCATTCTCTTCTGCTTACTAGTTAGTCCCATTTGAAACCCTTTATCTTTTCTTTCCGCCATTACTAGCTCCTCCTCAAACCCACAGTATATCCTCGCAACTAATACTTTAATAACCCACAACAGAAATCGTCCTTTTTCTCATCTTGTATTTTTTCTTGATTTTTATGCGTGGTGTTTGCTTTTGTACTTTCAGTCAAAGATGTTCCCTTCGAAAGCCCTCTGTGGGTCTCAGAGTTTTTTTTTTTTTTTTTTTTTTTTAAAGCCTAGGTTGTTCCCACCTTAATAGCATAGTATATCATATAGTGTCAAGACACTTTAGATAAGGCCCCGACTTTTTTCTAACTTCTGGTGTAATTGCTGGAACTTTCCCAAATTAGGTGCACTCCAGTGTACAAAAAAGAGCTGAAAGGGGCAAATGAGTCCTATATCTACAGGATTTAAAGATTGCCAAACCCTTTACTTTTATCTTTGCAGTGCCTTCAACGGGATGCAGAAAAAATAGAACAGAAAACTATCGTGTGTGTGTGTTTGTTTTTGTTTTGTTTTACAGTGTTCTGAAATGAGAGGGAAAGGAGGGGGAGGGAAGGAGGAAAAATGAATAATAATTTGAAACATTTCAATAATTCTATTATCTTTGCCCAAGGAAGATAAAAGGAAGGCTAAGGTTCAGCCATTTTTTCCTAACCAACTCCCTTAAAAGTGGGTGCATATGATCTTGTTAAAATTACTTTCGTTGTACTATTAAAGAAGTGCTATTAGATTTAATTTTTGAAATGGACATGCTTAGTATTCACATTTAAAAGTTGCTATTATGATAAAAGATTGTCGATATGTATTGTCCAGATACGTATCAAGTATGTATTTAGAATTGAACTGACCCGTGTATATTAGTTAGATGAAACCTGTATTAGTTTCATCTAGAATACCTTTAAGTCTTTCATTCATAGCAGAATTTTGCATAGAACTCGTTCATTTATTGAATTAATGTATTGGTGGCTTTTATTCATCTAGTTAATCCATGGAGAATTTTAAATGTGAAAACTACTTGCCAAAGTTCCTTAAGACGCTGTAACGTAAAGGAGCTTTATTTGAAAGCTAATCGGATACATAATCGTTTAATGTGGCTATCAAATGGCTTCTTAATTAGACATCCAACTGTAACGAATCACTTGAAGAGACTTAAATGGAATGCGAAGAAATGTCTCTTAGGTCTGGTCTTGAGTGTAGCTTCTGCACTGCTTTCCTTCTTCACGTTCCTTTGTGTATCACAGGAAGAAGACTGCGGGGCTCTCTGAGCAGAATGGCAAGGGAGCCCAGAAGAGCGAGCGGAAACGCGTGCCCAAGTCCTCCGTGCAGCCTGGAGAGGGGGCCGCGGAAGACCGGGAGCGGAAAGAAAGGCGGGAAAGCCGAAGGCTCGAGAAAGGGCGGTCACAGGACTTCCCGGACGTGCCGGAAAAACGAGAGGACCGCAAAGCGGCGGAAGATGAGAAGCAAAGGAAAGAGGAGGAGTACCAGACCAGGTACCGCAGCGACCCGAACCTGGCGCGGTACCCGGTGAAACCGCCGCCCGAGGAGCAGCAGATGCGCATGCACGCCCGGGTGTCCCGCGCGAGGCACGAGCGGCGCCACAGCGACGTGGCGCTCCCGCGCACCGAGGCGGGCGCCCCGCCGCCCGACAGCAAGGCCGGCAAGCGCGCGCCGGCCGCCGCCAGGGCCTCGCCGCCCGATTCGCCGCGGGCCTACTCGGCCGAGAGGACCGCGGAAGCCAGGGCGCCGGGCGCCAAGCAGCTCACGAACCACAGCCCGCCGGCACCCAGGCATGGGCCGGTCCCCGCAGAAGCCCTGGAGCCCAAAGCCCAGGAGCCGCTCAGGAAGCAGAGCCGCCTGGACCCCAGCTCGGCCGTCCTCATCAGGAAGTCCAAGCGCGAGAAGGTGGAGACCATGCTGCGGAACGACTCCTTGAGCTCCGATCAGTCCGAGTCGGTGCGGCCGTCTCCGCCCAAGCCGCACCGGTCCAAGAGGGGCGGCAAGAAGCGGCAGATGTCGGTGAGCAGCTCCGAGGAGGAGGGCGTGTCCACGCCGGAGTATACCAGCTGCGAGGACGTGGAGCTCGAGAGCGAGAGCGTCAGCGAGAAAGGTAAGGCGGAGGCGGGGCTCGGGCGCGCCTGCGCGGAGCCCGGGGGCGCGCGGCCGGTGGGGGGGGCGCGGGGGGCTCGGGCGCGCCTGCGCGGAGCCCGGGGCGCGCGGCGGGGGCGGGGGTAAAACGTGCGGCCTGAAGCGTGCAACGTGATGACGGTAGTGAACGCCGCAGTGCGGTGTGTTAGAAAGTCTCGGGGGTGGACGCGTACGGTTCGCGTCCCAAGGGAAAAACAAACTCGTAACTAGATAAGAAGATGGATGCTAATCATTTTGGGGATCATTTCGCACTGTGTTTGTCAACTGGCTATACGGTATACCTGACCCTTCTGTGGAGCTGTATGTCGGATATCTCCAGATTTCCGTGGAAGTGGGGGGGGGGGGAGTGCAACGTGGAAAGGCCGCAGACCCAGCCTCTCGGGGAATAGAATAGAAGGTTTTAGCCTCCTTGCTTGCTTTATTCCTTTTTGGTAGGATTTTGAGACATAACCACAAGCTTCAGATTTGGATTACAAGAGTGGTTAATGCCTCCGTTTCTTGTCATTATGGAACATCCAGTACGCACTAAGTTAATACTTTGGGGTGGATGGTGGAGGACTTCTTTTCTAGGAAACCAAAACTCTTCCTGATAAAGGGGAATGTACCTTTTTTAAACTTCTGTGGTGTGATACTCCAGAGAGGGAGTATTTTTCAACTTTCAAATGAGTCTTTTCCACAACTGGTGAAGAAAGTCTATCATGCAGGTGTTACATGTTGTTTTGGATAGTGACTTTGGAGTACAAAGTTTATCATATTACAAAACATTTCAGAGCATTCATTGTACGATAGACTTTTTTTTTTCTGTCTTGTTCTACACTGTTCTACAACATCTTAACCACATGTAGCTATTTACATTAATTACAGTTACATAGACTTAATTATTAAGTCTCCCAGTCACTGTAGCCACATTTCAAGTGCTCAGAAGCAATCAGCACAGAAAGTTCCCTTAGATAGCATAATACTGGTCTAGAAAATACTTCGATTTAATTTTGCAATTACGTATTTCTTTTGAAGATTCACTTCATTCTGCTGTTCACTCGGATTTAAATTGGCCACAGTCCTAAATTTGATGGTGTTGGTCCTGATTCTTGTTATATAGTGTTTCCTGGTTATATTTTGGGGTAGCTATTTTTTACAGTTTTTGGCTTGTATTATAGTTGCTAAATTATATACTAAATATTATAAATTTATTAAAAAGTAACTTTGTTTCCTCATATTCTCTATCGTCATAATGCATGGCTGTGTCATCTCCCTTTATGTGTCTCTGTCTCCTCTCTCTCTCTCTCTTTCTCTCTAGATAAATACAAACATATATCCATCTAGCTAGCTAGCTGTCTGTCTAGATAGATAGATGGGTGAATGTATGGATGAATGGATATATATATATATATATATATATTTGGGAAAAATTAAGAAAGTTCATTCTGTCATTAGGATTACTGCAACTTAAAAATGACTCTTTTGGACAGTGATTTGGTAAGAGATTACTTAGCAGAATGTGGATGCCATGTAGTAAGTTTCAGGGTCAAGGAAAGACTGTCCACATGAAATAAAATTTATAGGGCAGTGGGAGACAGAAATTAAAATATTATATTTATATGGGATCATTTGGCTCTTTCAGCACACCTTCTGATGACTTATGTTTGTCTTAGAAGTCAGTATGCATATATTTATGCATATTGTACATGAGCTTTTTAAAAGTCACATGGTGGCTCAGTAGGGTGGAGGGTCTGACTCTTGGTTTTTGCTGGGGTGGTGATCTCAGGATCCTGGGATAGCGCCCTGGTGGGGCTCTACACCAGTGTAGAGTCAGCTTTGCTTCTCCCTCTGCCCCTCCCCCCGTTCACATGTGTGCTCCTGCTCACTTGCTCTCTCTAAAATAAATAAACCTTTAAAAATAATATGGTGAGTATACCCTTGCTGTCTTCTGTGCCTTAATATTGTTGTGTGAACACCTATTTTTCTCCCCTGAAATAATAAAATGTTAAATAAAAATGTAAATGGATATGCTTAATTGGTGTGCAGATAACTCTTAATAGATATAAATATGTATATATGTATTTTCATATATATGTATATTTTCCCATTTCCTAAAGTAAGGACTCTACATCAGTTCTTACAAAATGTGTGTTTTAAAGCACAGTGGGCATAGAATCAGGCAGAACTGAGTATCAAAATATTTACAATACCAACAGATTGTGAAAGAAAAAATGACTAGAGGCATGAGTAATTGGAAGGATGGAACTGGTGTAATGTAAGGAACTTCTTGCCTCTGCATACTGTCTTCCCTCCTTAAGAATTATCATTTTAGGGACTCTGAAGCTGAAGAACACAGGGTATCACATTTGCCGTTATCTGGTTCAGATGACTCTATTTTCTCTTAAAATGAATCTCCTTTTCATAATGTCTTGAAAATAAACTCCACTCAAAATAGTTGCCTTATTCTAATATTTTAACCAGTCCCAACTCAATGTTTACAAAATGAAACATTAACTGTAAAGAACATACTTTTTAATGTAGCACATTTTCTTATTTCAAAATGATTTAAAAATTCCATTTTCTATGGTATCTATTAATGCCTTTATTACCAAAACCCACCATTGTCTACTAAGGACAATCTAGGGAACCAGCCATGATAATCTACAGTATCCTGTGACTCTGCACAAGTTACTTAACTTCCATAAGTGCTAGTTTTCTTGTTGGCACAATGGAGATAAGAGTATCCACTATCCGCATGGTAAGATTATCGAGTGGTGTGATGAGATGATGTATATAAAATAGGATGCTAAATTAGCATTTTTCCTGTTTTGATTTTGCTTGTGGTACCTATACCATAGATAACCTAATATCACAATAAATGTGAAGTAATCACTCACATATATAACATATAAAGGAAAGGTAAAAGAACTATTTGTATGTCTCATAGGATCTAATGGGGTGAGGAAAAGAATGATTTGGGAAGAGATATCTTAGGAGAGTGAATGCCGTGTTGTGACTTTTGGGGTCAAGGGAAGACTATTTTCATGGAATAAAATTTAAAGGGCAGTGAAAGATAAAAATTGCATTTTAAGTATAGACCATTATTTTGGGTTCTGGACTCAGTTCCAAAATGTGTGTGTGTGTGTGTGTGAGAGAGAGAGAGAGAGAGAGAGAGTTCCCACACTAACAAGCAATTCTCATATAGCAGCAGGATGTCCAAGAGAATTCAACCTAATTCAATTCTGATGTTATCTACCGAGAGGTAGCATCAGATCCCACAGGTTAAGGGCTCAGTCCCAAAAGACTGCCCTCCACTTCAGATGTCAATCATAATAAGCCCAGGTTGTTACCTGTGCTTCTGACCAACTGGCTATAGATCAGAGGATCCCACCACCCCCTTGGTGGGTTTGATTAGTTTGTTACAGCAGCTCACAGAATTTAGGAAACCCATGTACATATTAGATAACTGGTTTATTATAAAAGGATATAACTCAGATGGAAGAGATGCATAGGGCAGGTTCTGGGGAAAGGACGCAGAACCCATGCCTCTACAGTTATGCTGCTCTTCCAGCACCTTCATATGTTCCCTACCTGGAAGCTCTCAGAACCTAGTACTTTTAGATTTTTATGAATGCTTCATTACCTTGGCAGAGTTGACCAAATCATTGGCTTTGGTTCATCCTCCATTCCCTCTCTCCCAGGAAGTCAGGGGACTGGAACCTTAAGCTCCAATCCTCTGATCACATGATTGGTTTTCCAAGTGACCAGCCCCCATCCTTAGGTGTGGTCCAAAAAGTCACTTTGTAAACTAGTTACTTTGGCAGCATATATACTAAAAATCACCCCGTTAACCTAACAAAAGACACCTTTATGGCTTTCATTACTTAGGAAATTCCAAGGATTTTAGAAGCTCTTTGCTAGAACCTTCACTAAACTCAAATATATATTTCTTATTATAAAGCACAGTATCACATCCATTCATTTGTTCATTCAGTTTAAGAGTTACACACATAAACATTTAACATAATGCTTACTCTCTTACTATGTTCAGGCTCAAAAAAAGTTTTTGCTACAGACTGGGAGTGTATTAATGACAGATATTTATATCTGACTGTTTTAGAGGCTAGGAAGGCTAAGATCAGGATGCCCACGTGGTTGAATTCTGGTAAAATACCCCCTAGCTAGCACCTTTTTTGCTGTTTCCTCACTTGGTTGAAAGGGCTAGGGAGATTTGTGGGGTTTCTTATAAAAGCACCAATCCCATTTATGAAGGCTCTACCTTTGTGACCTTAGCACATCCCAAAAGCCCTAACTGCTAATACTATCCATCATCTATGGGGGTTAGGAGGATTTCAACCTGTAAATTTTGGGAGGGACACAAACATTTAGACCATATCACTGGCGTAAGGTAGCTACTTACTATATGTATGCCATTTTTGTCATTGACATTATTCTAATTTTATCATTATGCTGAGTTGGTTTGTTACTTATCAGTAAATGTATTTAGCACTTTACATATATAAACTGAGGTTAAAAAAGGATAAATGGGATCCCTGAGTGGCGCAGCGGTTTAGCGCCTGCCTTGGCCCAGGGCGCGATCCTGGAGACCCGGGATTGAATCCCACATCGGGCTTCCGGTGCATGGAGCCTGCTTCTCCCTCTGCCTATGTCTCTGCCTCTCTCTCTCTCTCTCTCTCTCTCTCTATCATAAATAAATAAAAAAAATTTAAAAAAAAGGATAAATATGTCCCATGCTCTCATAGAGCTTACATTCTATAGAGAAATAAGCAATAAAGAAAAATTACACAATGAAATGCAGTTTTATAAATGCCTAAAAGGGAAATTTTTTCTAGATATATTGATATAATTTGCTGTGTCCTAAAATTCAACAAAAATGATAACCTGGTCGAATGGCATCTGGAAGACAACACAGCCTTTATAGTCAATATAATATTGTACATATGGTATAATTCTCTTTCTCAC